TCTTAGATCTAGTGAGAACGTATTGTCACCATATTAATAATTACTTAAGACTACAATATCGGGCTGGGAAAGTGGCTCAGTGGTAGAGCGCTTGCCTTGCATGCCTGAGGCCCTGGGTTCGATTCCTCAGCACCACATAAGCAAAAAGGAAAAAGCCGGAAGTGGCGCTATGGCTCAAGTGGTAGAGCGCTAGCCTTGAGCTGAAGAGCTGAGGGACAGTGCCCAGGCCCAGAATTCAAGGTCCCACGACAGGACCCAAAAAAAAAAAAAAAAAAAAAAAAAAAAAGACTACAATACCAATGTAATCTAATGATTCTTTTTTTTTGCCAGTTATGGGACTTGAACTCAGCACCTGAGCACTGTCCCTGAGCTTTTGTTCAAGGCTAGATCTCTACCACTTGAGCCACAGCACCACTTCGACTTTTTTTGTGTATTTGGTACTGAGGAATCAAATCCAGGGCTTCATGCATGGTAGGCAAGCACTGCCACTAAGCCACCTTCCCAGCCTCCTAATGTCTGAAAGCTAGGCACCAGTGGCTCATACCTGTAATCCTAGCTACTCAGGAGAGGCAGATATCTCAGGCTCATGGCTCAAAGCCAGCCTACGAAGGTACATCTGTTGAGACTCTTATCACTAATAAACTACTCAAACAAAATAGAAGTGGGAAGGTAGGCACTGGTGGCTTATGCCTGTAGTTCTAGCTACTCAGGAGGCTGAGATCTGAGGATTGCGGTTCAAAGCCAGCCCGAGCAGAAAAAGCCATGAGACTCCTATCTCCAATAAACCATTCAGAAAACTGTGACTGAAGTGCTAAGAACGCTAGCCTTGAGCTGAAGAGCTGAGGGACAGTGCCCAAGCCCAGTTCAAACCCCAGGACCAACAAAAAAAAAAAAAAAAAGAAGTGGAATTGTGGCTCAAGTGGTAGAGTGCTAGCCTTGAACAGAAAGAAGCTCAAGGACAGATCTAGAGTTCAAGCCCCTGCAAAAAAAAAACAAATAAAATAGCTGCTTGCTGGTTGTTCAAAAACAAAAAGCAAAAAAACTGAAATGGTAGAGCGCTGAAGAGCTCAGAGACAGCACCCAAGACAGACTGGATTCAAGCCCCATGACCAACCAAAAAGAAACACAGAAAACGGCAACTTTTTATTCCTACCTACATATCTATCCTTTTTCTATAGATACGTACATATATTTAAACAAATGATTACCAAGTATGACTTTCTAGAATTCAAATCCTTCATTATATCTGACTCGTAATTTTTCTGCCAGTACTGCAGTTGACTTAAGGCCTTGGTTAACTGGAGCTAAGAGTCTATGGACTTCTCTGCCCTGGCTAGTTTCACACCAGGATCCTCTGATATCAGCTTCCAGAGTAGTTAGTATTGTAAAACCAGGTGGGAGCTACCAATACCTGGCTTCAATTTTTTATTCCCCCCTTTTGGTGTCTGTAACAGGATGCTTAAACTCAAGACCTGGGCTCTATTCTAATACTCTACCACTTGAGCCACAGCTCCACTTACAGCTTTTTGGTGATTAATTGGAAATAAGAGTCTCATAGACTTTCCTTCCCCAGTTGTTTTCAAACCATGATCCTTAGATCTCAGCCTCCTATATTGCTAAGATTATAGGTGTGAGCTACTGTATCCAGCTGAATATTAAAGTTTTGACTGAAAAGTCGGGCGCCGGTGGCTCATGCCTATAGTCCTAGTCACTCAGGAGGCTGAGATCTGAGAATCATGGTTCAAAGCCAGCCCAGGTAGGAAAGCCTGTGAGACTCTTATCTCCAATAAACCACTAGAAAACTGGAAGTGGCCCTGTGGCTCAAGCGGTAGAGGGCTCGCATTTAGCTGAAGAGCTCAGGGACAGCACCCAAACCCAGAGTTCAAGCCCCATAACCAACCAAAAAAAAAAGTTTATAGACTGCTCAAATGTTATCCAACTAACTTAGCAATTAATCACTCTCTACACAGCTATTTGCCTTCTGAAATAGGAAGCATTTTGAGGAAAAAGCCAGCCAAGATCCTGAAAGTACCTAAATTCCTGAATGCTCTTTAAAGGCATTTACTCTTTCAAGTAGATTTTTCTGATGCTAACCCTGCATGTTCTATTAAATACACAGACAGACAGATCTCAGTGGATGATTTGAGAAATACAGAATGGCAGTTTACTTTTCTCCTTAGCATTTGCCTTCAAGGGCAATACAGGTTGAGCACCCCAAATCTGAACTCTCATATAAGAAGTTCTATTTTAGACTTTGAAGGATTCCAACTCTGGATTATAGATACTCAACCCTAACTCCTATATATAAACCTCAAATCCAAAATGTGAAAATACTTCTAGTCCCACTTTTTTTTATTTTGGGGGGGGGGGGGGGGGGGAAGAGTTGGTCATGGGGCCTGAACTCTGGGCTTGGGCACTATCCCTCAGCTCTTCAGCTCAAGGCAAGCACTCTACCACTTGAGCTAGAGTGCCACTTCCGGTTTGCTAGTGGTTTATTGGAGATAAGAGTCTCAGACTTTTCTGCCCTGGCTGGCTTTCAACTGTGATTCTCAGATCTCAGCCTCCTGAGTATTACAGGCGTGAGCCACTAGCGCGGCTCCACATTTGTTTTTATAATGAGGGGGACAGTACTGGGGAGTTTTGTTGTTCTTTTTTGCCAGTCCTGGGGCTTGAAAATCAGGGGCTCCAATCTGTCTAAGCCTCTCCGTGCTCAAAGCTAATGCTCTACCACTCAAGCCACAGCACCACTTCCAGTTTTTTGAGTAGTTTATTAGAGTAGTTTATTAGAGATAAGTGTCCATAGACTTTCCTGCCCAGGCTGGCTATGAACCATGATCCTCAGATCTCAGCCTCCTGAGTAGCTAACTACTATTACAATAATGAGCCACCAGTGCTCATTCAGAACTGGATTTCGAAGTCCAAGTCTATTTTCTTGGCTTATACTTGAGCCACACCTCTAGCTGATATTTTTGTTGGCTACTTCTTTTGTAGACGGAATATGGAGTACTTTTTTTTGGTCCATCGTGGGGCTTGAACTCTGGGCCTGGGCACTTTCCCTGAGCTCTTCTTCAGCTCAAGGCAAGCAAGCACTCTACCACTTGAACCACAGCGCCACTTCTGGTTTTCTGGTGGTTTATGGGAGACAAGAGTTTCACAGACTTTCCTAGTCAGGCTAGCTTTGAATTGTGATCCTCAGATCTCAGCCTCCTGAGTAGCTAGGCATGAGCCACCGGAGCCCAGCTGGAGTACTTTTCTACCCAAGACAGTCTTGAACCATGATCCTCCGTACCTGGGACTCCTGAATAGCTAGGATGGCATGTAAGTGTCATTGTGTGGCTGGTCCCAAGTGATTTTTGGTGACACTCACTCATACTGCAAATATAATGGCAAGAGAAAAATTCTGATGAAGTCAGTCCAAAGATTTTAAGTGTGCTTAGAATTACAAGTTTCTTTGTGGATAGTGGAGATGAAGCCCTATATAAAGGTAGGGAAATACTGGGCTGGGAAGGTGGCTCAGTGGTAGAGCGCTTGCCTTGCATGCATGAGGCCCTGGGTTCGATTCCTCAGCACCACATAAGCAGGGGGAAAAAAAGCCGGAAGTGGCGCTGTGGCTCAAGTGGTAGAGCACTCGCCTTGAGCTGAAGAGCTGAGGGACAGTGCCCAGGCCCATTGTTCAGGCCCCACGACCGGACCCCCCCCCCCCCAAAAAAAAAAGTAGGGAAATATCACACCACTCAGCTACATTCTCAACCTTTGTTGCTCAGAATGACCCACAACATAGGTAAAACTAATTAGGCACAGCAGTTCATACCTGTAATCCCAACCAATGGGAGATGAAGATCAAAAGGATCTTAGTTTGAGACCAGTCTAGGTAAACCTCTTCCCCCATCTGGAACCAAGTCAGGTTCTGGCTACTAGGCTAGATTTTTTTTTTGGGGGGGGGGGGGGGTGGGGGGGGGAATCCAGTCATGGGGCCTGATCTCTGAGCCTGGGCGCTGTCCCTCAGCACTTCAGCTCAAGGCTAGCGCTCTACCACTTGAGCCACAGCACCACTTCCAGCTTTTTTTCTTTTTGCTTATGTGGTGCTGGGGAACAGAACCCAGGGCCTCATGCATGCAAGACAAACACTTTACCACTGAGCCACCTTCCTAGCCCCTAAGGCTACATATTTTAATCCAAGGATAGCCACTGGCAAAATGTAAGACACTCCAAAAAATAACTCAAGAAAAAAAAATTGAGGACCTGAACTAAATAATAGATTATGTGGCAAGTATGAATCCTTGAGTCCTTTTAAAAAAATTAAAACAAAAACAAAAGCCAGAAATTAGAATACCTGGGTGTTGATAATGAAAACATAAGCTGGATACTGGTAGCTCATACTTATAATCCTGTATACTCAGGAGGGCTAAGATAAAAGGATTGTGGTTCCTGGCCCCACCAGAGCAGAAAGTCCATGAGAATCTTGTCTCCAATTAACCATTCCCTTCCCCCAAAAAAGCCCTAAGTGGAGTTGTTGGCTCAAATGATAGTGAAAAAAAGGCTCAGGGACAGTTGCCAGGGCCTGAGTTCAAGCTCCAGGACCAGCACAAAACAACAAAAACTATGGGCACTCCATCAGTTATTTTCATAAGCCTTTTCACACTCCCATAAATTTAAACAAAAATATCATTAAATGAGACTTTCCATGCAAAGATATGTACATAGGGAATTAAGATACACTTCCTTGGCTAAGAGCTGGTGGCACATGCCTTCAATCCCAGCCACTCAACTCAGTTGGCTGAGATCTGAGGATTCATTGCCAGCTAGGTTCCCCAAAAAGCCTAAGTGGAGCAGTGGCTCAAGTGGTATAACATTTGCCTTGAGCAAGGCTCATGGACAGCAGAAAGACCTAGAGTTCAAGGCCCAGGATAGGAACAGACAAAGAGGGAATAAAAAAATTTCATGAACTCTTAAGGTATGGGAAGAAAACCTTGGTGAAAGTTTAAAAAAAAGAAACTTACCAGTTTTACAGCCTCCTGCGCTGCTTCTTTTGTACAAAATGTGACAAACGCATAACCTCTATTGAGACCAGTGAGTGGGTCCATCATTAGACGAAGATCCCATATAGGTCCAGCTTTTTCAAACAATGGAACAAGCTCATCTTCAAATAGATCTCTTGGAATCTTCCCCACAAATATCTGTGAATTAAACATAAAGTAAAAACCATGGAGATTGTTTAGGAAAACAGGTAGCTGGCTTTTACTACAAAAGGTAAAAGTTTTAGTTTCTTTACCTCAGTGCCAACAGAAGGCTGCTGACCTGAATAAACGGAATCTGGAGGTGGTCCCCCATACTTCCTCTGTCCAGTGGTCACATCAAGTGTGTAGCCTGTTCTTTCCAACAGTGCCTTGAAAAGTCCAAAAATGTCATTAATGTGTTTAAGTTCACTAGACCACACGCATATAATTAGCAATTAAAGTTAACCTTGTTCAAATTTTTCTTATTACATTGCAACATTATCCTCCCTACACATTTTGTTCCTGGGATCATAAAATTCCCCTTCTAATTTAGTGTGCTTGTTATATTCTCATTATCAAAATTTTAGGATTCTACACAAATTATCAGTAGCTCATGCCTAATAAACCTAGCTACTGAGGAGGCTGAGATCTGAGGTTCACAGTTCAAAGCCACCACCAGCAGGAAAGTCTATGATTCTGTACTCCAATTCAAAAAGAGCCCAGAAGTGGAATGATGGCTCTAGTGGTACCTTGAGCACAAAAAATCAGGACAGCACCCAGGCTCCAGGACCAACACACAAAAAATTATTGGGCAGGGGCTGGGAAGATGGCTCAGTGGTAGAGTGCTTGCCTTGCATGCCTGAGGCCCTGGGTTCGATTCCTTAGCACCACATAAGCAAAAAGAAAAAAGCCAGAGGTGGCACTGTGGCTCAAGTGGTAGAGCGCTAGCCTTGAGCTGAAGAGCTGAGGGACAGCACTCAGGCCCAGAGTTCAGGCCCCACGACCGGACCCAAAAAGAAAAAAAAAAAAAATTATTGGGCAATGAAAATTACTATCAATCCACCAATATCTTTCAATATAAGATGTATCTATCTGCTAATAAGCAACTGTAATCTTAGCACTCAGGAGGCTGAGGCAGAACTACAGGCCTACCTTGGACTACATAAACAATATCCTGATCTTAAACGACATAGTTAAGATCCTGGTCAAAAAAAAAAAATCCTAAAGAACCTCCTTTCATTTGGTGTTTCTCAACTAGATTTCTTGCCCAATAAATCTCTGAATCCTACTCATAGGTAACATACTGACTTTGTAAGTATTTGGCCAACCTCAAAAGATATACTGCCTAAACCAAATCTACAAACTTGAGACTCGTTACAGGAAAAGGAATTCTTATTATCTGGTATTAAAGTACTATGCTTCAGAGGACATCAAGGATTCTTCAGGGAAAAAAAGCCAAAATGACTTTGAAAACTTCGTGGAATTGCAACAATGTTAATTTCTGCTCCTTATCTCTCTCAAAGTAAATTGCTAAAATTCGCACTTCATTTTAGTCAAAAGTCTAGGAGTTTCACTTATCCTTTGTTATATATAGGTAAAAGTACAAGAACTAACCCATTAAGCAGCAAGGGAAAAAAATGCCCACAATTTTTTTTCTCCATTCGCCATCTCACTCAACCGCAAAACAATCATTTTCCCTCTTCTTTCTCACTTTTTTTTTTTTTTTGATTGGGTATAGGGCTTGAACTCAGGGCTTGGGCGCTGTCCCTAAGCTTTTCTGCTTAAGGCTAATTCTCTATCACTTTGAGCCATAGCTCCACTTACAGTTTTCTGGTGGCTAGTTGGGAGTCTCATTGACTTTCCTGCCTGGGCTGGCTTTGAACTGTGATCCTCAGATCTCAGCCTTCTGAGTAGCTGATTACAGGCATAAGCCACCAGCACCTGATACAAATCCAGTTTTTTAAATAACAAAAGCATCCTACTAATTAATAGATTCAGAAATAAAAATGCTATACCAACCTCATGACAAATAACCTGTGATTGCCTCAGTGTCTAAAAATGAAAATGATGTTAATGTCTTCTATATTAAATACAGTATTTCTGGGGTTGGGAATACAGTTCACTGGTACAACCTAAGGAAGTACTCATATACTAGCCCAACATGAACAAGATTCCCAGGTTTGATGCTTAGGCACCACAAAAAGTGATGAGGGGTCATTAATTTATGAAATTATCTTAATTTGTAAGAAAAAAAACCCTTACTTTCTAACCAAAAAGTACACAAAAGGTACACACACATATTCTAAGTAGCTCTTTTTTCTATTACACCTAAATGACTATATAATGGTGGGACACTGAATAACAGTAAAACTTGAACCTGATCACTGTCATATACTAAACTATCAAATGTTTATTTTTCCTTTTCTGTCATGTGTAATCCTCATGCTATAAAGAGATGCTTTTTTTTGGGGGGGGGGGGGTGGGGGGGAGATCCGGTCGTGGGGCCTGAACTCTGGGGCCTGGGCACCATCCCTCAGTTCTTCAGCGCAAAGCAAGTGCTCTACCACTTGAGCCACAGCGCCACTTCTGGTCTTTTTTTTTTCTGCTTATGTGGTGCTGAGGAATCGAACCCAGGGCCTCATGCATGCAAGGCAAACGCTCTACCACTGAGCCACTTTCCCAGCCCTTTGCTTTAATCTTTATAATGACCCAACTAACATCTCTTGCCAATCTACAGACAGAAAAAGCAATTTTCTCTTCAAACATCCTATAAACGTCTTGTCTTCTAGGCTTAATTTGTTTCATTAAAGCTAACTCATTTTCCAAAGACAGAACCAAAGTTACACAAATTTTTTCAGAAAAATGTTGACTAACTCTATAGTCTAATAGATGATACTATATTGACACTAAATTCATAGCTAGATCTAAGAAAGGCTCAAAGTCAAGATTCAAGTTAAGAGCTAATTCCACATTCCAATCATCTCCACATTCTAAGGTCCTCTTCCCATACCACCAACACCACATAACCTATACCGTAACCAATTTTCCCTCAGCTGAATGACTCTTAATCTTTGAATTAGTGATCATTTCATTTTCCATGTGACATCAAAACCAATCAACACTCCCCGCCAAAAAACCTTTCACATCTAGCCTATTCCCACACTCACAGTTTAATTTTCTTAAAGAAATGACCTTTATATGCCATAAAATGACAGAAAGCCTTAAAATTTTACTGAGGTCTGAGTCTCCTAAGAAAATTATCCAACTACTAAATGTATACTCTCTACCAGCTATTAGGTAAACAAATTTAGTTTGACAGTAACTTAAACTTGTACCCTTTCAAAAAGCATCTAGACATATGATGGATCTGTTTCAGTAAGTAGCTGGGTAACACGAACAGTAAGTTATTTTGAAAACAAGTTATTTTAAAATGGCAAGATACATTTGAAGAAATAGTAATCATCTCGAAAATATGCACACATCCATGTCACACTCAAAGAATAACTAGAAGACAGTTTCAATGACTTTAAAATTAACAGTTTACAAAGACATACCTTAATTTTTGCCTCATCTGGTCCTTTACTAGAGTCCGCTACTTTGGTCCCCTGTTTTTCTCTCTGCCTGTAAGTCTTCATGACTCCACATAAAAAGGCACTTTTGTTCTGGAAAAAAAAATTCCATTCATAATTAATAATTATGTATGCACCTAACAAAATGTAATGAACATACCAAAACTACTGAATTTTTTTTCTACATTGACATTAAATTTACATTACCTGAACATGAGAGAGATCACTGTCTTTAAACTGTTGAAGAACTGCCAATGCGCCGTCTTCATTGAACTCTTTTAAAGCTTCAATAGCTCTTTCATCTAAATCACTATGTGCAACTAGCCCTGCAGAAGAGAAAAACTTAATTAGTTATCAACTTCTAACACTTTTGGATTTTTATTTTAGAAAAGACCTGTACGGCCCAATACAAACCCAAGTGTGACAATTCTACTCCCTTTATATCTACATAATGAAACATACTCTAGCTATTCTGAGACCTCTGAACCACACAATTTATTTTACATCCTGTCATTGCAATACACACATGCGCGTGCACGCACACACACACACACATACACACACACAAATCCTAGAGTCAACCAACGAAGTACAAAGCATGACAACTGAACCTCTACTTAATTCCAAGTCCAATAGAATCACCACTCCAAAAAACACAACAGAACAAGTCCACAGCCACCAAGTTATTTAACAAGAATCCTACCACAAAAATACCGAAAAAAAAAAGTCACATGGTCTGCTCACAACATTTTAGCAGCTGTTGGTACTATCACATACTTATTCAGCAGGACAGCCAGCCTTCTTCCCCTAGGGAGGGCCTACCCCTCCCAGCTTCCCTCCCTCTACACAGCATAATCTCCAGTTCAAACCTCAATTAACCAACTATCAGAACAAGGCAAAGCTCGAGTTCCCACACTTATTGGAAACCACAAAAAGTTGCTATTTTAGCTCAAAGCCAGAAATCCAATAGAAAAATTTCATAATGTAATTTTGCAAGTGTTAGTTCTTACCTGCAACGTAAATTTCATCTAGTTTTTCAGCAACTTTCTGTGGTAAACCAGCATCAAGCAATGTCTGAAAATTTTCTGAATGGATAACTGCAGAAGTAGTATCCATGGGCTCTTCAGTACCATTTCCATTAACATGTTCTGTAGCCATGTTTCCAGAGATCTGTTCAAACGCAATAAGCAAAATTAAACTAGGATCTTCAAACAGAATAGAGAACAATATGAGAGCCCCAATCTTGACTTTCTCTACCACTTAACCGCATCAACCAGCGCTGCACCTCCCTTGAAAGAAACCTTACTACTTTAAACTCCACTGTCGTCTGACAAGCCAGATTTGGAGCCTGGGGCACAGAAATACCAATTCACTCTATTCTTCCTGAACACCACCCCTGACTCACCTGCTAACACTCCCTAGGAAAAACCACCTTACAAATGAAGCCCAATCAGCACGGGGGACGAGCCAGCGTGCCACCAACAGCTGTTCCAGAACGGAGAATAAGGTTTACGGGGAAGAAAAGCAAAGCTGGGCTCGTTCCTCTCCAAGGTAAATCCTTCAAAAGTGCGCGCTTTTCCCGCCTGCCGCTTATAGATCCGTAACAACAGCCAGCGAAGAACAAAGCGCTCACACAAGCCACCTTCCCACCACCCAATTTCTCCACCCTTCACCCCACACCCCAAAGCCCGCCCTCGGCTCCGCACCCGGAGCGGCAGCCTCACCGCTGCGGCCGCCAGGAGCCCATGAGAAACACGTGCTCTGCGCCTTCAAATGTCCTACAACTTCCTTCAACGGAAACCCACCGAGTCCCGGACCGCGACGACCGTCACCGGCCCCCGGCATCAAACCCACCGCCGCGCTCCGAGCCCCCCAGAAAGCTGCCAGCCGCACAACCTCGCCCCTCCACACCGAGACCGAGGCCGCGGCGGCGCCCAGGCTACGGGCTCTCCCCGCCCCTCGGCGCCGCCGTCTCCGCCGCCGTGACACATGGCGCTCTGCCCCGGGCGCTCGGCAAGCGCCCGCGACCCCCGGGGCCGGCCCGGCCGGCCCGCCTCGACGCGCCCCGCGGCGCACACCCTCCACACCCCGCGCCCCCTCGGTGCGGGGAGGACTGCGGCGCGGGGTGGACCCGTCAGCCCGCGCCGGCCGCGGCGTGAGGGCGTTCCGCCGACAGCCCGGAGCCCGCGGGACCCTAGCACCGCCCTGGCCCGCCGCGCGGCTCGCGGGACGGCACCGGCGCCTCTCCGCCCACTCCCGCGCCGCGACGACGGCCACGACAGCACCCACTCTGCCGCCGCCCGCGGTCCGCGCGGGCCACGGGGGCCGCCGAGGCACCTCCTCCCGGAGCGCCGCAGACAAAGCCCCAACAGCGGCGGCACATGGAGAGGGGGAAGTGGCGGCGCGAGCCGCGGCCTACTCCCCGGCAGCCCCAGCCAACGTGCTCGCTTCCCCCTCTGGAATCCATTTTCCAGAAAAGCCGGTTTCTCCCCGCGGCGCCCTCCCTCCCCCTCCGGCTCACTCCACAATGTCACCGAGCTCCCCTCCCAGACCCAGCTCCTGGCGGTCGTTACCTCCCCGTTGGGCTGCGGCGGAGGAATCCTGTCCGAGGGGATCGGGTTGCGGGAAACGCGTGCTCGCTGCTCCCTGTGTCCGGCGCGAGTGGAGCTGTTGTAAAATGGCGGCCGAAGCTCACGCCGCTGGCAGCAAACCCGATCCAGTTCCACTCGCCTCCGAGCGCGCTCCCGGTGCGCGCGCGCCCCCGCGTGACCCCCCCCTTCCCTCCCCTCCCTCGCGCGTCCGCTTCTCTCACTCACTCAGCCCCTGCCCTCCGCCAGCTCCTCCTTCTCCCCCTACCACCACCGCCAGCCGCCGTCCGCCTTCTCCAGTCGGCCTTTCTTCTTCCCCCGCCCTTCTCCTTTCCCCCACCACTCCCCCTGCCCTCCGCGGCCGCTCAGGCACGAGTGGCCGCCTTTCCCCTCTTCGCTCTCACTCTCGCTCACTCCCACCCTCGCTAGCTCTCTCGACCCGTCCCCCAGTCCCTGCCGAGTCGGCTCCTCTCTTTCTCTCTCCCGCGCTGACGTGACGACGTAGCCTACGCCTTGGGACGCGCGCCCAAGGCTCCGCCCCTAAGCCCCGCCCCCTCTTCCCGGGAGGGGGCGCGAGACCCCGCCCTTCCGCTCCGGCGGCGGCCGAGGGGCCGCAAGTGAATGAAAGGCCCGCCCCTTCCCCCGACACTCCTCTCCGGCTCCCTGGCTGGTGGGGCGGGCCAGCCGGCTCGGCGTGTCCCACTCGTTCTCCTTTGTCAGGAGACGAGACTTCTCCCCACCCTGCCCCACCCTACCTCTCCTCAGCCCCACACGCATGCCGTCCAGCTCCGAGTTCAGCCCCGCCCCACCCGTCCCGTTCCGTGCGGGACCCCGGGTGCCCAGTGCGGCCCCGGCTTCCCGGAGGGCACCCACCGGTCGGTGCGGGCCGGCGCCGCCCCCGCCGCGCTGTGGCTCCCGGCGGAGCCCACGCCGCTGCCACCCCGCGCTCCCCCAGCTCGGGAAGCTGCGGGCGCACGTGTCCCCCGGGGCGGGGCGAGGCAGACAATGGGGCCGCGGGGGAGGGGAGCTCGCGGAGACCCGCGGAGCCGAGGTCCACCGAGTGGCACAACGTGAGTGCGGGAGTCGCCCGGGGAGCCCCAGGCTCGCCCCGCGGGATAGTGGGGGCATCCCGGGTCCGGCGCGCCTCGGCCTTCCCGCGAACCGGGAGCGGAGCGGGCGGGAGGGAGGGGGGCGGACTCGAACGAGGAAACCCCCTCTGCGCTGGAAGCGGCGGCCGGGCCGCCCGGTGCAGCCCGGAGCTGCCCGCGCCCGGGGAGGACGGGAAGGCCAGATTTGGAAGCAGATCCGCTGGGTGAAGGGTTGTGCAATATTCCGTTTCTGTCCCTGGCCTTTTAAGCCGTGGAGGGCTCCTCCTGGAATAGTTTGAAGCAACTTAAAGCAGCACAAAGCTGAGCGCTTAGGACAATTGTGAGAAAATGAATGTAAAACACACACACACACACACACACACACACACGGATCTTGGCAACTAAATCTTGTGTGAAGTGACATTCCCTTTGTAACGGTTTACAAGGTACGAGGAAGACTGGACGTGCATACTGATTTTATCCAGTGCAGCTTGTAAGGAAAATAACGATTGAAATGCTTACTAGTGACCCCAAATTAGCTCTTTGATGTGATAACAGATCTGTGCTTAGAGGAAAAGTTCCTGTCTAACCAACCCAGTCAAGAAGGATCTTGTATCTCCACTACCCCAATCGCTTACTGTCAAACATACCTCCTATGGTAGTTGGCTAGTTCACATTCCAGCGGTCGGGGATGACATAGCAATCAGAGTGCATAATGCAAGATAAACGTAGAGGAATACTGTAGATTAAACAAAGGAAATAGTATCTGAAACATGGAATTTTTAAAATTTAGAACTTCATGAGATGGAGTTTCTTTTTAAGTGCCTACCTAGGCAATGCCGTATAACTCCCCCCAAAAATCTATCCTTCTGGAAGTGGTGCTGTGGGCTCAAGCCCTAAAGCACTAGCCTTGAGCTGAAGAGCTGAGGGACAGCGCCCAGGCCCAGAGTTCAAGACCCACAACCTACCTAAATAAATAAATAAATAAAACAAAAAAATCTATACTTCTCTGACCAGATTCCTTTCCTACAGTCCCTTAAACTTTGTTGTATGCGTTTTTTTTTTTTTCCAGTCATGGGGCTTGAATTCAGGGCATGGCACTGTCCTTGTGCTCTATTTTGCTCAAAGCTAGTGCTCTATGACTTGAACTACAGTGCCACTTCTAGCTTTCTAATGGTTAATTGGAGGTAAGAGGTCTCATGGACATTCCTATCCCAACTGGTTTCAAACTGTGAGAGAACTATGATCCTCAGATCTCAGTCTCCTGAGTAGCTAGGATTACAGGTGTGAGTCACCACTGCCTGACAGTTGTTGGCTTTTCTGAAGTACTCTAAATTGGCATTTTAAAAAATCCAGGACCTGATCATCTCCTTAATCTTTTCACATTTTTTAACTGTATTGGGAGGGGGTGTCTTTTCTTTTTTTGGTACTGGAGATCGAACCCAGGGCTGTGCACTTGTTAGCCTTTAATCTTCCTTGAGAGTGAATATGAGGATGAAAATCATCTACATGCATCCAGCAGCCCTAGTTGGAAAATGAGTCATTTAGAATACTTCCTTCTCCCCACCATCCTATCTGTTTCAAGTTTTGATAATTGTCTTCCAATCTCTACTTCTTGCTGATAACCATTTAAAGCCACTACACTCAAACAATATCCATTCAAAGCAAGCCCAAATCCCTGTCCTCCCTCTCTTCCTAATCTTTTTCCACTTCTCCTTCCCATCTCTACCCTGCCCTCCCTCCTATTCCCCTTCTTTCACCCATCCCCACTTCCCCTCCAATTACAAATACAAATAAGAGGGGCTGGGAAGGTGTCTCAGTGGTAGAGCGCTTGCCTTGCATGCCTGAGGCCCTGGGTTCGATTTCCCAGCACCACATAAGCAAAAAGAAAAAAGCTGGAAGTGGCGCTTGGCTCAAGTGGTAGAGTGCTAGCCTTGAGCTGAAGAGCTGAGGGACAGCGCCCAGGCCCAGAGTTCAGGCCCCACGACCGGACCCAAAAAAAAAACAAACAAAAAAAAGTACAAATAAGATTGTAGTTACAAATAAGATTCTGTGGAGCTCCTGGAGAAGGGCTGAAGATTATAAATGGTGGTGTTATAATCTTCAACAGCAAAAAACTAAAATGGAAGGGATGGTGGGAGAACGGCAAAGGAGGGGGTAAGACAAGAAATGTATTCATTACCTTATTCAAGTAACCCCTCTGTACAGCATCTTCACAGTAAAATAAAATTTAAAAATAAAATAGCCAGACAATAGTGGCTCACATCTGTAATCCTAGCTACTCAGGAGGCTGAGATCTGAGGACCAAGGTTCAAAGCCAGCCTGGGCAGGAAAATCCATGAGACTCTTATCTCCAATTAACCATCAGAAAACCGGAAGTGGCACTATGGCTCAAGTGGTAGAGTGCTCTCTTTGAGCTGAAGAGCTTGGAGACAGGGCCAAGGCTTAGAGTTCAAGACCCACAATTGACCAAAAAATAAAAAGGCAAAAAAACCTTCATAGCTTCACATTCATATACCTACAATAAAAGTACAAATCCTCAACAAGAGCTACCTGACTCACTAGCTTTATTTTAGTCTTTTTTTTTTTCCCCACAGCTTTGGCTAGCCTTCCTCAGTTCTGGAATTTTTTGAGGTTTGTTCACAGTGAGGAGCTACGTACAAAGGGAAGTGGCTGAGTAAAAAAACAATCACCTACTCTTTTTTTTTTTTGTCGGTCGTGGGGCTTGAACTCTGGGCTTGGGCCCTATCCCTCAGCTCTTCAGCTCAAGGCGAGCACTCTACCACTTGAGCTACAGCACCACTTCCAGTTTTCTAGTGGTTTATTGGAGATAAGAGTCTCATGGACTTTCCTGCCCGGGCTGGCTTTGAACCATGATCCTCAGATCTCAGCCTCTTGAGTAGCTAGGGTTACAGGTGTGAGCCACTGGCGCCCGTCTTTGACCTACTCTTAATTTAACATTTTTTTTGTTCCTGAGGTGGGCCTCTATTTGCCCAAGCTGGAATTGAACTCCTTTTAAGCTCAAGCTATCCCATGTAACTGAGTCTACAGACATGTGTCACCATGAACAGTCACTTTGATGCCTTTGTAAATGATTTTCAAAACTGCTTGTTCCAGGCTTGACCACAGAAACTAATTTACTGAAAACTGGAGAAACCCATGTAAGATAAAAAAAAAAAAAAAAATTAGCCTGCTGCTAGTGGCTCACACCTATAATCCTAGCTGCTCAGCAGGCTGAGATCTGAAGATCACAATTCAAAAGTCCCAATGTAAGCAGGAAAGTCTGTGAGACTTTTACTTCCAATTAACCACAGAAAACGGGAAGGGAAGTAGCGCTGTGGCTCAAGTGGTAGAATGCTGGCCTTGAGTTGAGGAGCTCAGGGACAGTGCCCAGGCCCAGAATTCATGCCCTACAACCAATAAAAAAATAAAAATAAAATAAATTTTTAAAAAAAGGTGGATTAACTTGGTGTGAGAGACACACTGAGTTAAATGGAAATATGTGTGCAGAAAAAAGAAATGGATATGAAATCTCTGGTACAAGAAAGCATTTGTTGCCAGGCGCCAGTGGCTCACTCACACCAGTAATCCTAGCTACTCAGGAGGCTGAGATCCAGCCAAGGCAGGAAAGTCCATAAGACTCTAATGTCCAATGAACCGCCAGATAACCGGAAGTAGCACTGTGGCTCAAGTGGTAGAGTGCTTGCCTTGAGTTGAAAAGCTGAGGGACAGCACCCAGGCCCAGTGTTCAAGCCCTGTGACTGACCAAAAAAAATTGTTAAATTTATTTCTCAATTTTTCCATTTAGTTTCTATCACATCCTCAATATAATGCTTAGTAGGTAGTTGCTGAAGTAAACCAAAGGATAATACGCTGAGTCCAGACAATGTTGCAATATCATATCTGTTATTAAAGATATTGTGGCCTTGGACAAATAATTTCATATCCCAGCATTTCTATTTCAATACAAAACGTTAACATGATTTTTAATGTCTTCTGGCTCAAACATTTGTGATTTTTTTTTTTTTTTTTTTGCGGGGAGGGATGCCAGTCCTGGGGCTTGAACTCAGTTCCCTGA